TACAAAATCCAAGAGTAAAATCATTTAAGGGAAGAGTTCTGGAAGAAAATTTTTCCATAAAAATCCTTGCCATTTTGCTATTTAACTTTAGAAAGCCATTGAAGGGCAGGTTTTTTTTACAGTTTATTTTTGTTTGTTGGCTTTTTTGTCTGGTTTTTTTTGTTGTTGTTGTTGGTTTTTTTTGGTATTATCATATCATTGTTAGTTTTGTAGATATTGATGTAGTCATTCTAAAATCATTCGMAGGGTCCAAGATTAGTAATAATAAGTAATGCTGTAAATAATATGATAACATATTTTTATCTAAGGCATACATGGAAAATTAATATGAATGACAAAATAYTTTTAGGGGGAAATTTGGCTAAGCAAATATGTGAAGAATGAGGCAGTACACAGTGCATAACCCATTAGCTTAATYCCTATCTGCAAAAAAAGCAACTATAAACTGAGTAAGCTTGGATAGAAAGTTTCATTCCCTTGTAAACTTTCCTTTCATTTCTTTCTAAGGAAGTGATTTTAATGGGTCACTTATTTCACAAGCTGTCTGCAATGGACTTTTGCACCTTTCCTTTGAAATCTCTAGATATAGTCATAGTAAGAGACAGTGATGTAAAAGGAACATGCAGAAACTCCCTTGTTAGATCACTCTGGACATGCTTTTTTCATACTGACTTTGTGTTATGAGGGGGTATGTTGCTTGGAAATAAAATTCAATAGTACTGACCTTTTAATACTGAACTTGGAGCACAATTGTATCACTGAATTCATTCCTGCCACCTCTGGACAGCTGTTTGATGTCTTGGTAAATACCTTCTGTCAAATAGCASTCAACTACTCTTCATGTCTGCAAATCTCCCTCCTTGAAAGGAGTTCCGCAATTAAGGAAAGGAAAAAAAATATTGTGATAACCTAATTATTTTGCATATATGAGTAATTGAGGCTGCAGCTTCTACTTCTTTGATCTAAACTCCATAATCTGCATAAATGCTGCTTTACTCATTTTCTAGTTGAGAGATAGAGGAAGAGAGAGGTTGCATTATTTATCCCATGTAAAATTAGTTCTTGACAGGGATGAGAATGGAAAGCACAGACCTGCCCATCCAATTCATAGCCCTTGCTRCTTTCCTGAACATCCTCTCTCAAACGATGAGTCCTTTGAATGTGCTCACTAATATTGGCTAATGAATCGTTGCAAAATTCACCAAAGTTATTGGACTGATATCACAATCCCTTGGAGAAAGAGAAGCCACACACTCTTTCATTCAATGAGTTTTGGACAGTAGATTTACTGTCCAAAATCACAGGAGTAACAGGAAAAATAAAGAAACCCAGCAGAATGGCTAATGGGAAAAAAACAACACACCCACATAAAGGGCATAGAATGTCATTAGAGGACTGCCACTGGAGGAGGATCTGTGTCTTGGGGTCTTTTTGCATTAAGAAATGGTATAGTGAATTCAAATTTAACACAGTTTTGTGATAAAAAATGTTTTACCTGGGAGATACGGCTCATTTTCATGTAACAGGATTTTGAGTAMAATATCTTTGGATAAATAAAGTTCAATTGTATGCAGAGCACGGCAAATGAAGTGGTTTGTTTTCAGCTCAGAATCTGGAGATGGGCATTGGCTGCACAAGAGAGCAAGAAGTTCACTCTATTAAGGAAACACATTGTCCAGGTACATTTCTTTCACAAGTGTCATGACAACTAAACAGAGGCACCAAACAGTGAGCCTTTCCTCACTGCTGTTACCACACAAACACTGGCTGGGCACAGGCTGTGCTCTGCACTGACACTTTAGGATAAACTGATGGTCTTTCCTCAGCCTCTGTAACTGCATTTGGGAACAATAAGTAAGTACGAATGTGTAACATAACCATAAAATAATTGCCATAAAATAAATTTTAGATTTCATGCACTGTGTTCTCTAAGTTACAGYAGAAACACAATTTAATATAAATACTGAATACTACTCTGAAGCATGCTAAAGCAAAAGTTTGGTTACTTCAATGTTGGCTGAAACAACATGACAGGATAGACATGTAGTATGCCCAGAAATATCCCATAAATGTCAACAGTAGAATTAGCAACCTGTGTTTGAGCATTTAAAAATATCATAGTTGTAAAGGGAAGGGGGAAGGTTAAAGGTTAGGGGGGAGAATTTTGCTTATCTTTTGGGCTTTATGCTGTCCTCAAGCCCATATTCTGATGGGCAAGAGAGTGCTGTGCTGCTGTCTTAKCCAACATGGTCTCTGCCTGAGCTGCTCATCTTGCAGAATTAAAACACCCTGTCATCTCACCTCAGAATACTTTTGTTCATCTGAAAATGTAACTCAAAATATCCAGAATGAAGAAAGAGAAATAAACTATAAATAAATCACAACATCCTTGTTTTACCTAGTATTTTCTGCTAGTGAATAATAATTAACAATTACTAAGGGGCAAAAGAAATCAAATCCATTCCTTGGAAAGTAAAATGCTGTAATGACAAACCTCCTAAGTTTGCCTTGGCTGCCCCAGTGCATTCCAGGCAAGATGAGCTCTTTCAGAGACACCAAGGGATCAGGTTATTCTGGAACAATGTACTCCAAGATCTGCACTTTGAACTGCATCCAGGACTGTATGGCTCATCAAGGTAGCTGCTGAGGAGCTGGTGAAAATGTTCCTACAAGTTCAACTCTTCTAGCTGAGGGGTGGCCAGATTCAGCTCAAGTTGAAGTTATCTAAAATGCAGACAGATTTTGGTACAYGTTACCCAATTTCAACCATTTTCACCAAATTAAGAGTTAGAAAATTATTAGATTATCAGGTGAACTACCTTGAGGATGAAAAATACCTCATAAATAACAGTGAGAATTACATGATTAGTGAATAAATAAAAATTAAGATTTTATTTGTGCTCCTGAACCTTGTTTTGAAAGAACAGAGATAACTATACCTGTAGTTCTTCTCCAGTGTTCATAGCATTCCACACATTACCATGTCTTACARCTGCACAGGAAATACAGCTCTGCACACCAGAATTTTTATGAGGATGCTGTAAGAAACTTTATTCCAGATTCTGTTATTATTAACCCCACTGTAAAGCTGCAAACCTCAAACCTCCCTGAATCTTTGTGGCTGTAGTGAAGTAACTGATTTGCTCTCTAAGCATTTGTGATGTCTAGTTTGCAATATTGAGTGATATCTGTATCTTCTGTTTCAACGTTTTTGCTATTCTGTTCTGTACATGACTTGTATATTTTTTCTCACGCGTGTCAAACGAAATCCAAAGGTTGTTTCACTCTGTCTTATTCCAAGTTTCATTCAGCACTGACCTCTTTACACCCCCCTTGCAGTGACTTGGTAAAAAGTGTCTATCAGCCTTCATCTCTTGACTTCTGTTTGATCCAGGTAGGTCTCTCCATGCATCCTGGGACAACCTGCACCCTCCAGGGCATTGCCTCCTCTGCTGTTTTCATATTCATGGTGAGATGAAACGCACTATTAGCACCAGGTGAAGTGTTTGTGCACTGTGCCGTGAGGGTGAGTGAAATTCAACAAGATGATGAAGTGATCTTGAAGTATTTGTGAAAAAATTCATAAGAGAAACATTTTTTTTCAGAACAGATAATTAAAATGGTCGATTCTGTGTGTGTATATACATATATCATGGCTGTCCTATTTTACTTTTTTCAGAATTTTTACTGGATTTTAAAGCTCCACACAAGCATTCAAGGAAGTGAAAATCTCCAGAAAGGTGCTTTTCCATGTCATGTCTACTAAACATTGTTTGAAATCTGGTGAGTACACTTAAATGAGTAACCTTACAATTTTGTACTACCACAATTGAGTTTTCTTTTGAGATGAAATTATATTATTTTTAACATTTCTCGGTTTATCTGGTGCACAGAACATAACACCATCTAATGTAAAATGATGAGTCTAAATCATACAAAGGACTAAGGAACAGAGATGTAGGTAAACATAATACAGCTTCTAGGAAAGTGCATTTCTGAAGTGACAGAAATTTTAGTGAAGCCCATGTACAGTGATTGTGTGTCCTGCTGCTGGAAACTTTTTCTTGGTTTACTTGTACACCATAAATTCTATTTCTTCAAAATTCTATTTCTTAAAAGAGAGGATTTGGGATTATTTGTTTCAGTCTTCTCCTGTTTTTAAACTTCTGTCTCCATCCTGCAGTCAAATGCTTATGTCCTAATAACCCAGGAATAAATTTGAAGGTACATCAAATATTTTTAATTTGAGAGGAAATATGTCCATAAGATGTGAAATGGTTTCCAGCCTAGTCCTGATGTGTCAGAAACCTTACAGCTGTAAATATTAGCTGTAAATATTACATGCAGTTTGACAGCTGTGTTTGATTTTGGTTCCCTAAATGATCCTGAAGGAATAGAGAATCCATTTAGACAGGATCAAGAAACCCCAGTCTTTTATTTATCTCACTTTTGAGAATGTAAATTGTGTTTGTTGATGAATAACTTTAGGAAATCAGCTGACTACAGCAAYCTTTCAACTCTGAAAAAATCTTAGCCCTCATCAGCAAAATCCTTTCCCACTCCAGTAGTCACAGGTAAAATCCCAGGCTAAAARGGCTCATTGTTGCCTGAAGCAAAAGGTAGTTCAGTTCTGGCTGATTTTGATTCTGTTCAGTTTTAGCTGAAACACTGAAGCTCAGAAGCACTGACAGGGTCAGTGGTGTGCTTTAACTGGGTACAGCTCAGCCATACAGCTGTACGTATATTTCACCAAGACAATATACAAACTACATGCAAAACTTGTGCCTTTAAATCCCTTCAGAGGAAGTCAGCCCACGTGATGAAACATTCCCTGAAGTCACTTAAAACACGATGATCCCAAAAAAGGAAATAAAAATCAAGCAACAGAAGTCACCTGAAAGCACACAGGTAATCTGACACTCAGAAGCTGTGAAACAACCAATGTCAATCTTCAGCCTTAGTAGGGCTCCAGCTGAAATCAAARCAAATTGAATGGAAGCAAGATCAGCTAGGGAGTTTATTTTATGTAAAATATAAACATGTTAACAGGAGAAAATACTGTTTTCTTATGTTACAACCTTAATAACCAACATGATTTTTATCTTACAGTTCTGCAGGTGGCGCAGGGTTCAATTACATGTACATGACGATTAAAAAGAGCAGATATTTTTCTGCACACATACACCGAGTATTGTATGTTCTACTAGAAATCCAGTATTTTCAYGTGTCCCCAATTGTGTGCTTCATCATTTGACTATCTCTTATTCCATTTTAAAACCTAGCACAAAATTTTAAGTAGTTTTATTATGATTGCATCATTTTGACAGGTAGAGAGGGACTATATATTTACAAACAGATACACATATTCAAAGTCTCCCAAAAACCCCAACCTTTTCCATATTTCATCCTCTTCTCTTTCTTCTTTCTCCTACCCTACACTCATATTTCTACAGGGTGTGGTGGCTTTACTCCTAAAGCATCATGATAGGTTCCAGAGCTTGTTAGGTCTTTTTTAATGAAAGCCACAAGACGAGAAAATTGTCTCCAGGAAAAGCACTGGAACCTGTAACATGGCTGCCCTGATGTTGCTCTTGCTGTTAGAGAGTTGAGAGAAGAAACAATTTAGTATGTRGACACAGCCTGGCATGGGACATTTGACATTTCAAACATGAACATCATTGCAAAAACAAAGCTGAGGTTTAAGCTCAGCCTCTTCAAGGAATGTACACCTATTAATGAGATTTTGGGGAGCGGTGCCAGAGAGGTTGCAAATATTCATTATCTACTGCAGCAAGCAACATGTTTTGCAAGATGTTTTCACAAAGGGCTTATTCCTGCCACTTTGGAACCCTAAGAGAAGGGTCACCATTACCTAAAGGATGGGGGGTAGGAAGCTGCATCTTAGTCCTATTGTGCTATTACAGAAAAGTTACTTACTCATTCATATKCTTACACACAGTGGAGTTGCCACCTGCAACACCCTCTATCAGAAGCATTAGGCTGTTRAATTGACTGCTGTGAATGGCACACACAAGCTAATTCATTTTACATAGTACAACAGTCCCAGTCTTGATAACCAAATGAAGCAGAATTCATTAAAGAAYTATAGCAACTTGGAAACCATGAATAAAGGGAGTTATTTGCAGTTTCATATTAAATCATTCAGGCAAAGCCAGCAAGGAAATCTCCTAGAGGGTAAAGAATCATTAGTATGTGAAACAGTGTGGGTTTAGCCAGACAGTCCCATCAGGTGGGCACATGCCTCCTGATAGGTTTTATTTGACCCTGTATGCTAAAGTGTGTTATCTAAATAAATCTTGTAGACAGGTTYAAGCAATCTCTTTGAAGTAATGCATATTAACTGGAAAGAAATTAAATGCATGTCTGTGGAGGCTTGCCAAAGACTATTTATACAGTAAGGGCCATATTAAATTGAGAAGAAACATCTCAGTATCAGAACTGATGCAACAGGAAAAAGTCCTGGTCTTTTCATTGATCAAAGAAAATACAGCATCTAAAACAYTAGGAATAACCATTGCATTAACAACACTGAAAGTCAGTGACTTTCTAATATGGACACCACAGAGTTTTACATCAGCACTTCTCTTACTCCACTGTCTCTCTGCTTTACATTGGCGCAGGTGTAGAGAAGAAAGATGCAAAAATTTGCTCTCCTTGCCAGCACTCACACAGTGGCCTAGAATAAATGTGGCTCATCAGATTATTCACATTTGAGACTAAACAGAGCACTGATAAAATGGTAGAGACCTGTMTTATCAGCTGACTGACAGCCGACTCTGTGTTCAGGAAAAAAGAATTCTCCTGTAAGATTTAGAACTTATCTAAATTCTAGTCATTGATAACTTTGTCACAGATTAAACTATTACAGCCATCCTCAGATGGRTGAGCAGGCAGAGTGCAAAAGAGGCTGTGAGATGTGCACTGTGAGTGCAGCTCCTCAGGTACACACTGATGTGGTAGCAGACACTCAGTAAATGCTGCATCCTTTTTTCATATGAGCAAATATGTATGAAAATGCTTGGGCTTTCCCAATTTACAACCAAAATAGGACTACAGGCCTAAAAATGGAAATTGAGTTGTTACTGGAGACATCGGATCACAAGCAAACGGCTGCAAAAGCAGTAAGACAAAGGGCAAAATGCTAAGCTGATTGGAATTTCACAAGATTGACATTGTTGCTTAAAGTGCTTGGGTTGATTACATTTAAAAAAACAAAAGTACATAAAAATTAAAGCAAAACAAATAATATTAACCACTTAAGTTATTATACAAATACAGTAACAGACCAACAAAAGAACAATAAATTAAAACAAACCCTTCTAAAAGATACTAGCAAAGAACAGATACACAGCCAAAACTTGTTAAAATTTCTAGTATTCATTCRGCTGTAAGACACTGCTCACAACTATCAGCCACAAGCAGCAAAAAGATAAAATAAGAAGGGTCTGCTGTCGAGAGGCATCAAATCACTGCCAGCTGCAAGCTGGCAGCTCAGGTGCCAAGTACATGATGCTGGAATAGATGAGTGACTGAAATGTAATGTCTGCAGATAAAAGACAGGTTGTGTAGCACTTCAGGACCCATCATGTAAGGTGAATTTCCACTTAATTTTATTAGGTCTTTAATATTTTTATTAAACCTGGTATGAGGGAAACTCCTACTGTTTCCTTTACTCAAATTGCTAAAGGGACACAACTCTTCCTTCATTATCTAGTACTCTGAGGTAAATAAATTATTAAAGTAGAATTGACAGGAGTAATTTTGGGACTTAATTTCAAAAAGGTGTTCTGCTTCACTGGCATGGCTTTTCCATCACTCTGCTCTTCTGCYTCCCTCTGCTATGTCCCCAAATTAGAAATTACATAAAATCCCGACAGACTATTCTGGAAACAAAAAAAAAAGAGTTCTGAGCTCATCCTCTAAGATAACTGATTCAACAGCACTGCAGTGCTCTGGAAACACAGCACAAGAAAAAAGATGTTCTTTTTTCTGAGTAGGGAACATAGTAATAGGATTTATAAATCTCAGCAACAGCWTGGGAAACAACCAGAAAACTTCAATTGTTCTAAGACCCAATATACCCGGAACATGAACACCATAAAATTCAGTCATTTTAGGGAAGCACAGAATACTATCAGACACCTGTGCTAGCATTTTGTATTCTAGCTGCTACCTGAAAAGCTTTTATTGTCTTAGGTATTTTTCCATTCTTTCATAAGGGACTGGAAATCTATGCATAAGCATAAGAGAAAAGGGATTATGCTTTATTTAATCAACTAAAATACTTTACACCATGATTGTTCCTATAGGGATCCCAATCCTGCAAAACTTGTGCAAATGTGTTTAATTTGACAAAGATTYCTCTGCCTAGACTGGCATTATTCATATAGCTGTGATGGACAGCTTTTGGACTGCAATCAAGACATTCAGCACACTAGACACTGGATCCAATTTCTAGAATTGTGACTGCAGTTTTTTTGATTTTTTTTATCAAGAGAAAATGTCCCCTAATTTAGCTAGTGTTAGTATAAAGTGTGTATTTCACAATTTTTCAGAGCTGATGTCGTACTTATGTTAAGCTGATACTAGTGCTCTGATCTTTTCATGGGCTAGCATGAATTTAAAATGTTATTTCATATTTTATGAAAAGGTTAATGCTAGTAATTTTACTCTCAATAACTTACTGCAATGATTTGTATGTTTTACAATCTAGAGCTGTCTTGTAGTGGAGAAAACCAGAAATTATTATCCTGTACTTTAGCATTCAAGTATTAATCAATACTATYAACCTTTTAAAAACCAGTTTTCGCATAAGTCAATTGAAATAAAGAACATGCTTCCTAAAATTGAACTGATTTAAAAATTAGTTTTAAAAGTTACTTTTCATATAAACATGAACCCTGAAAATTTCAAACACCTTAAGTATTGTTTTGCTGCTCTTTTAAAACTAAAGAATCTTGAAAGAATGTTCAGCAGTAAACTGCAAAATACAGACATTAACCAGCACTAGATAATGCTGATCTGGAAAGTGATTTCATTCACAGTGAGAAAACCTTACCCATTTTAAAAGGCCAGTAATTATTATATTTTTATACAGWAATTCTGAATGCTTACAAATAGATCAATTAAAGAGGGATTTGCAGGTTTAGCTTTTCAGTGGTAAAGCTMCTGGGTCCCAGTGAGAGTTGAGGTCTCCTGTAAGATGTCTATCTTCTATATTAGAGATGGAACATTTCATTCGGACATCAATAAAAGAACCAGAACTGCATCCTAATTATGCTTGTCTTGAGCCTGCATACCAGCCTTCATTCATGTGAGTGATCTCTGCAGACCACTTCTGTCATTCACTTAAGTAAATGCTCTAAGGTTACATTCTATGTCTGTTTTCTTCCACCACTATAATAATATGATAATTCACAAATAAACTTAGCAGAAAAGTCAACTTCTGTTTCTCATTCAGTATAAAGTGCTACATTGCCTTAGTTTACAAAGTGGCCATTGATAAATCCAACTGAACTTCAAAGGATGTTACAGTAGAAGCTAGTACTTCATTTTCACCATAATTTCACAAAARGTATTTCACATTCACAGTAGAGTACAATGACAAACATTATTCTCTCTTCTACAGAAGACTAAAATATGAGGTGTAGCTGCAGTTCAAAAGCCATTTCTTGAAATGGAGTGTCGGCCATAAAGTGTCAGGCAGGCTTCTTAAAGAAAAGGACCAAAAGCAACATTGTCTAATAAATACATAATGAGTGAATAAACTATAACAGGTAGAAATAAATTTTGTGAGATGAGAATATTTCCTAGTAAATACTAAACCAACTATCAGTCCCCATAAAGACAAGAAGAGTGGTTTTGCTCTTGATGTCATTGGAATAGGACTTTGGCTACTGAAGTTCAAGAATTGTATAATGGAGTGAAAGTGTCAAACTGAGCAAGGTATCAAACTCAGTATTACCACTGACTCAAGCCACTATCGATCTCTTCTCATACCCTATTGATACTTTCTTCTGCATTTATTCTTTGCCAAATTAAAGGTATTCAGGTGAATTCAGAAATTTTATTAGCCAGTGCATGAGAAGCGCCAGCCAAATTCACCCAGGAAAATCACAAACTAAGCCTTTCTTRGTGAGCCTTTTTATGTTTTTTAAATCAAGCACTCCAGATCCCTATCTGTTTCTGTGGTAACAAAATGCTTTCAAATATGACCAAAATGTTAGGGATGATATATACATGATAGTGTGTAAACTAGTGGTTGCTATGTAACATGTTTCTAAGAAATGGACTCTGTCTTGAGAAATTAAAATGGGACACACAGATATTTAGAAAATTGCAGGACCAAGCTGTGTGTGTCTACAAACAAGGCTTATTTAAATGGAYTGGGTAATTTCAGCCCTGCTGGATATGTTACATGGGACCAGTGTTGCAATCTTTGCGAATTCAATCAAAGTAAACAATCTGTGACATCATTTTAACAAAAAGATCAATTTCTATAAATGTAATTTATCTCTGTATCATATGTGTCATCTTACTCCCTTTATACCAGTGCTCTGTAAATTCTGAAATTTCACCTCATCTCTACTRTCTCATGACAAAGTGACTGAAAATACAGAATTACTTAGTTCCAGTGTAATTTATATCCCTCTATGTAATTTATATCCCTCTAGGTCTGTGGTCATGCACTGAAAATTTTTAACAACCAACACTAAAATTATTTTGGAAGAACATCTTTTATGCAGCAGAGTAAYATACAAAAAAATCCCCTATACAACCACAGCTCAAATCATCATGAAATGGATTCTTTTCCTTACACTTAAAAGGGGAAGTATATGTCAGGATGTATTTAAAGGAATGCTTTGTGAATCAACACACTCCAAAACCATTTAGAAAGATTTAAGTMATTTTGCCCTAAATGTAACGAATGCTTCCATAAAAAATACTACTCTAGGTGTATTTGGTTTTACAGTTGACATCCAAATCTTATTATTTGTAAATATTAGTCCATATAAATTCCACTWAAATCTGACGCCAATTAGCTCTTCAATCAGACTTAAAAAACTACAATCCCCCCCAAACAAAGTTCTGAATGTCAAAAATGGACGGTTATAGTCATCATCACAWAGACCATTTAATAGGAGACAGAGTGTATTGTTGTTCAACCATCCGAGATGTGGTCTGTGTGACAGTTCAGGGGAGCCATCACCTTCTTTTGCCTGCAGCATTGTTGTGCGCAATTATCACAGTTTGCCAAGTCACTCTCTTGACTGATAGAACAAAATATAGCCAGATTCTGAATTTTTCGATATATCAGAGGTCAGACCATAGAATTCTTCAATTGCTTGAGCATCTATTTTCTGCAAAATAAATATTTGTTTTTAATATGATGTTRGACAAAACAAATACCAAACACAGATTAAACAACTGTATGAACAGAAAAGACAAATCCAATTATTTGTTTTGAGGTAGCAATTTGCAAATTCTGTTTGCAATTTAAACAGTGAAAGGATAATGTTCRGGGCTGAGCCTTGCTCTTCTCTCTCATGCAAGTCATAGACATGTTTCTATCACTGATCCTAATGAATTAGGCTTTTTCTAATAACAGAGAGATTCCTTGGAATGCAGTTGTGAACATGGTTAAAAGACATAAATGTGACCACATGATCCCATCTTTCTCAGATTTCCAGAAACCTTCTTCAAGACATGCCCTACCCAGCATCCAGTGCTTGCTTTCCTTAACTCTTGGGAAATCAGATTCAAGACTTGAGTTTTGCCAGTGCCACAATGRCATAAAGGGTTTGCTTAATGAATTTCAGAATGCTTAGACAGAATCTATAATAATTGTGGGAGAGACACTAATCCACATTTAAGCAATCCCAGACCAACAACAGAACTCAGACTTTCTTGTAACTTCCCTATTTTTCAAAATTGAAAATTCCACAGCAATGTTAGCTTTACTTAGTTCAATTTCGTTAAGTGATAAGGTTTAAATTAAATAAATTGATTYTATAGATACAGAAACTCTTAGAAAATTAAACTCTTAAAGTCATTTGATGTTGCTATAAAATAAAAACTCCCCTGACATTGACAGAGCAAACTACAGCATTTATAGTTTTGTTTRCAATCTTTCTTCCTAACAGAGATGAACTAAGTGTTACATTACAAAGTGTGGCTTTGCAGCTGCAGTTGCAAAGTAATGTGGTAATCTCTACCCAGTTTTGGATAAAAATTTTAATGCCAAGTAGAGAAGCAAATGTAAATACCAAGTTGTGCTTATGACTTTCAGCATACTGACCTCTACAATGTCATCATCAAACAAGAGCCAAAATCCATGACTTTTTACGATAGTAATGTAATGCCCCCGATTTGGTCCACTAGAAAGCAAAACAAAAATCCAAACCACAAAATATTAGAAAATACTATTGAGTCCATTTTGAYAAGACATGTTTGTTTATGAAATTACAACTAAATGTCATGAAAAACATAGTAAGCCAACATCTGGTGGTACACTAGACACTTAGTCCTTTCACCTTTGCATTAAGTTGTTTTAAAGCTCATCAACTGAAAATTAAAGATCTTGTTTTCATCTGCCAAGGCCATTTGCAAATTAACCTACAGAACACCTAACAAGTAGGCATCAACTATTTTTAAAATTTAATGAACTAAGTATAGAGGGGAAAACTGACCAAGGTGATCAGGTGGGGAGCCTACATGCTGACAGCCTCTGGCCCTCACAGAGTCCTGGCTCCCAAWGTTTTTAAGTGGTTTCATGAAGAAGGAGGTAGTTTCATCAATCGAAACCAAACTGGTGATTTTTGGAGACCTGAGACACTATTTCTTAAACAAGTACCAATTTAAGAGGGAAGTTGGCTAAAAGGTTCAGCCCAAGGCACATGCAAGTCAGTGCAGCAGCAGGGTTTAATACCTGCCTCCCACTCTTCCACACATTTTGTCAGGGATGCCCCTGCCCTTGTCAAATGTCTGGCAACAGCCTGTAACACACATGAAAGTCCATTACCTGCCACAGTGAACAACAACAGCTACCAGGTCGTACATCCGATCCAGGTTGACGGCATCGCCAGATGTGTTGAAGAGACGCAACTCCAGAGGAAACACTACACGGTAAGACAGCTTAGTGTACCTGTGCAATTGCTCCATGTACTTGAATCTCTTGAGGTGTAAGGCAAGAATCATTGGCAGTTTTTTTACTCTCATCCTGTGAAATTATTAAGAATGCATATGATAAGCACCTGACCAGTCCAAAGCCATTCTCTCTTCCCTTAATGAGTAAATGTTTGCATTACAGAAGCACTTTGTAAGCGACAGTAATCAACCAGCAGTAGCTTCTAGACTAAGACACATGCCTTTAAATCTGTCTGCAGGTTCTCTGGTTCATGCAGAGAATGCATTTGGGAGTTAAGGCTTCTAGATATCTAAACAAAATAAATATCAAGGAGGGAGTTTGTCAGAACCCAGGATGGACATGGTGAAACAGCCTGCTCTTTGCTTACCTCTTCTGTGCCTCTTGTTTACTGCAGCAAGTTTCACAGTAGTATTTCTGTTCACTACATAGTGTCTCTGTGTTACTGAAGTCTCTGTAAATAAGTACAATCATTAGTTATGAATGGATATGAACACATTTGCCCCACTTGGGCTGATGAACTGGAACCCAAAAGTCACACAGGATGAAAACTTCACCCAGTTCAGTTTTCTAAAGCATCTGAAGCAACTGTACTGTGGTCTGCAAATGGACTTAAGGTATTTGGTTGCTATGACAAGTTTTATTAGGAGCTTCTATAATTCAARTGGAGGGTCAGGTATCTCAAAATGGGACCCATATCTGGTCTCTCACACACAAAGGGGCTGCCCAGACTTGGGTATAGTCACACAATCCATCGAGTTTCTTTTAAAATTATTTGCRAAGTGAAGCAACTTCAAGTGCACTTCTGTCCTCCTGAAATAGCTCACATTTTATGGTGTTCTTTCATAAGATAGGTTTGAATCCTCTTACACATAAAAAAGAAATTGAACTCATTTTCCTGCATCCCCTAAACTTTGAAAAGTCATCCAGAAGCTTTTGGATTATACCTTTTTATTTTCTAAAAAAGGAAAGAGGCAGCTGGTATAGAAAATGTTGTCAATCCTGATCAAGTAAATACACTTGGAGATATTTCTGGATTGAGCTTTTGAAGTGACAAAGACAGAGGAAGCATAGGTTCCTATAGCATGGTTTGATAGCATCTCTCAGTTCACAGAAAAGATTTGTTGGAAGTCACTGTGCTGATATGCTTTGGAGCAGAATTTTAGGTACCTAAAATCACATAACTGAAAAAAAAAAMCCCTAACTAGTAATTTTTTTAGTCTCCTCTAGTGTTACATTGCAGCTGAACGGGTGTTTTGAGAACTGCAAATATAAGCACCTATCTTCCATTTTAAACACATGTATTTTCTTGCGACCTTGGGTCTTAAACAGATATATCAGAAGGTATAGAACTGTCTCATTGATTGCCCCTACCTTGTACCTGACAGCCTTCTGAACTCCAGGTAAATTCAGACCCATTCAGACCCAAATAAATCCCATTCTACCAYTGCAGTTCACATGCATGGAGGCTGAAGCCACACAAACTGCAACTTCATCCTGCTCTCACAGTAGGCAGTACCAGAATTGTCTTACAACACAAAGCGGGGATTCTGGATGATTATTTCTGCCTGACATCATCACGCCAGGGGTAGATGGGAGAGATGAAGACTATATAGTTTGCTAGGCCATTGATATTAGAAGTTAATTACATAACTTCATACAAATTTAAGGTTAACAAAGAAGCACTTTATATGACTGCATAATATTTTTAATAACTGAGAATACCTTCACTGATTTATTTTCTTTATATGGTCTTAACACTTATGAAAAAGTGCTGAAATTTAGGAAAAAAACCCAATCTTTTTAAAGATAAGTTACACCTAAACTTCAATCATAAGTATATTCTTTTATCTAAAATAAAAATAAAGCATTATCACTGGTAAGGATTTACCTCACTGGTAAGCACTGATCTCAGATATCTGATTTCACATTTGAATTTAAACACAAAATTAACTGAATTCAGCCAATTTCCCTGAAAAACATGTTAGCCTTTCAGGGAATCATAACTGAAGAGCTGAAACTTTAGAAAACATTAGAGATGAGTTGTATGAGTAGAGAACATAAAGATGCAAAATTCAATAGAAGTTGCTTGTGAAAGTCTTCGGTCTGTTGTTATAGAAAGAGTCTAAAGATTATTTTCAAAGCCTAAAATTTAAAAAAAAAAAAGCAAACAAATTTGGGGAATTTATTAGTGCTCTTCCTGCCTCAAAGTGAAGCAATGGAAATAATATTTTTCTAACATGAAAAAGCATGCACAGATGGTAGGAGTCTGTTATATTGTTTTGTTCTATGCCAAGTCCCCCATGAAAATTAATTAAAAACTCAAAAGAGTTTCTGAATTCCTTTTAAAATGTGCTAGTTATTCTGATGCTGTTAATATTTACTAGTAGCATTATTTATTAGCAGTAGCATTTATTTATTTAGTAGTAGCAGTATGGTATCTACTATTAGCAATATTAGAAAAAAAAATTTCACTGAAAGAATGGTTAAGAATTAAAATAATTGTAACTTCGGTAGCTCTTTCAGTAATTGAGAATTTTCAGCACAGCACTTATAACAGATGTTAAAYAGTTAAAAACAACAGTTCATTGACAGGAATTCACGAAGTATGCATGTGCAAGAGCAACAGTCTTGCAGAACTCTTCTCTAGACCTGCAAAGCTAGTTTCAGGATATGTCTTGTCTTTCCTATTAATAGTCTAATCTGCACTCTGTATGTTACTTTGGCAAGAGAAAGAAATTTTTAAATACACCTGCTCAAGATGTACTAACTAATCATTGACCTTGTGCTTCCACGGTCTGTCTCTACAGCCTCCATGCTACAGTGTGAAAGATAYTTTCTATTGTTTGTATGCATAAATAACATGAATATTCTGTTTTAAGGGATGAGAGAGTCCTTAGTGTAATATAAAAGCAGGTTAAGTCAGGATCAAACTGACTGGTAAACTTTGCAACTTCTAGCAGAAATAAAAATAATGGATATKTACTATATTGTGCTGCTAATGTAAAAAAACAATCAGAATAAATGACAGGTGATGATTCTCCTGTTCAATAGTAAATAGCACCCTGTACCTCCCACCCCAAGAAAAGAAAAATTGGGATTTTGCTTTCCTTTATTTCCAAAAGGAGCAATGGGTGTATTTCAAAATGCATGTCATGCTGTTGGAGTTAAGGCCGAYACTACACTGGAATGCTTAAAGAAATTCAGGGCATCTGTTTTTCTCAGGATTGTATAGATCTCTGCTGGAATATTATGCCTTTTTCTATATAGCTGCACTTTGAAGAGAGAGATTCTATTGGAGCAAAGTCTGAAGAGTACCAAACATGTGCAGAGATATAGATGATAGCCTGAGAAGAAAAAGTTGAATGACCTTAGGCTGTTTAAATTAAAAATAAAGTGATTACATTCTTCCTGTATATTAAATGCTACTGTTAGGGTGTAACCTCTGGTTTATGTCTAGAGTACACAGGACAAGCAGAAATAGGCTTGAACTTAAATAGCAAAGATTCATATTWCACAGCAGGAAAAATCTTAGTAGTAGTAAGAAAAGGAGGGACTGGGATAGACAATTGAGATATTACTGCTAAAAACATCTTCTGGAACAGATTGGAGAAGCATCCTGTCTGACAAGGAAATAGGGGGTAACCTCTTTGAAGTCACTTTCAACTCCACCTGTTAGTCACAATAGTGCAGTTGTAGTTCTTCCACATCTTAAGCTGCAGCCACTGTCTGTCCAGTAGTAGTGGTATGCTTACTGAAGTACTCTGTCTTTACATAAAAAGGCCTTTTCCAACAAAACATTTCCAAGAAGACAAAAGACCAAGAAATTAAATAAAAAGCTGGAGAAAGCTGAAGGACAGATGGTAAATTATATAGTGCAGCAGTGTCTGAAAAGTTCACCAGACTCAGCTGTAAAAAAGTCAGAGCTCAGTCTCCACTAACATAGAACCAAACAAGCTCAGATTAGAAAGGACCTCAAAAGGCAGTGCAGCATCACTGCAGCTCGGTGGGATTTCAAGCTGACTGAACACCAWTGGGAAAGGCAAGTAATACTGWCAAGTTCAGGGCAGTGGCTACAATRAGGAGCTCAAAAATGCGCAAACAACAGCCTGTTGTACAATACTGATACAACTATTGATTACTATAAACAGGTAAAAAGACTACAGGAGAAAAAGAGAATGCACTGCTTTCCAGAGCTTCTCTTCAGTTTGCTCACTTTTTATAGTGAGACTAGTTAGTGCAGTGTGTGCTACTTGAGGGCTAAGGATTGCCAAAGTATCCTATGGGAGACTGAACAGAAGCTGAGAAGGAAAAACGTTACTGGACCAGCACTTTAAAATGTAACAGAAGTTACTTAGCACAGTTGTGGTATTCACAGAGAAATCACCACTTTCTGACTCTGAAAATAGTTAGTACCTCACAGTCTTTCTACTTCTGTAACTAKCACCTTGGGATGAGATGCCAAGAAATCCCTCCTAGGCATTCCAGAATAACTGATAAATGCAATTTCAACCTTGAKAGCAATTTTGGAGTTTGAAGGCGTTTGACCAATTGATAATCATTACCTTAGGACAACGACATATCGTCTTAAATACAAGTAGTGGTTCAATGTATCAATGTCAAAACTCTGTATATTTTAAATCTCACAGAATAATCACCCACACAAGACTGAATTTTTTTTTTGATCTCTAAAGCAGAGATTTCTAAAGTTTTTAACAGTTAAGAGTATAGTAGGAACAGAACTGAAACTCAGAATAAAAGATTTCACATAATTTYAGGGTGAGACATAGAATAAGAAATTTCTGATAGAAAAATAGACTTTTGAAATCTTTTGTCCTCCAGGGACTCTGACACTCATTCTGCACAACACACACTTAACTTTCAACGAAGTCCTAATCAACAAAGCACTTGTATAAAAGCTTAAAGATAAGCACGTTTAAATCTCTTTGAAGCGAATTATCATTCTGCAGCAATTCTTCCAGATGACAAGGCAATCAATTATTTTCTCTGAAAGATTAATTATTTTCCTCTTTCAAACACATACATTGAAAGAGAAAGTGAGTAAAGCACACTACTGTATATTTTGCCATTAGAGAAAAAAAAACAGTTTGAAGTCTTTTTCTCCTGCTTAGGTTAAGTTCAAAACCAAATGTTATTCTACTTTTCTATACCTACTAGCCTTGAAAAATTTAGCAGTCAGACAGAACTATCTGCCAAAGAGATGCATTTATTTACCTYAGACAGTGTGTAATCGATGTATTCTGCTCCACATCAACAGAAAGGTCAAGAAAATCTTCATCTTTGCTACTAACCTGTTGCAGAAAACATACAYGTAAAACAAAGATGCCATACATCTAAATGCTGTTTATATCTTTAGCAAATGCTAAAGATATTTATTTCTGTAGAAATTGCTCTAACACAAAAATAATTAATTTCAATATTTTTGATTTTTTTTTTCTAGTTCAGTGTGAATATATTTATTAGTAATTCTACCAATCCATCTTCCATATAATTTAACTTCTGTCTGTTCCTCAACCAGTCCCATCAACCATGGGCAGTAATGACAGCCTGCTGTTCAGTAAAGGTGGGCCATCATCCCCTATAGTAACTGTGATAGGTGCATTACGTATGTTTCCTGTTATGCAACAGTCTACTTCTTTATTTTACCAGAAATTTGTTTATCCTTTTTGTAACATGTTATTCTATCTATCCACATTTTATTCTTACATAATTATTTCCACTATTAAGCATGCAATGAAGATAATTTCCAAATATGTGTCTGTCATGAAATGTCCCATTTAACTACYCTTTCTCTCTAGCAAGTATTCAGAAGGCTGGGTTTATATTTCTAGTTGACATAGCTACATTTCCTCATTGGATATTGTTCCTAGTCAATACTTTCGATTAAAAAACTAAAATATTAAAGGTAAAAATGGTTCAGAGGTAATATTTTGCAAAATCATTTTGGTATTGCCAGTCTTTTTTTGGACAGAACAAGAGAAGAAAAAGTATAATAAGGGGGTTTTATTTAAAAAATGTAAGTCCAAGTATTTTCAGAACAACAGATACTGATATTTGCTTTGAAAATTATTTTCATTAGGAGTGTTTAATYTTGAAGGTGAAGTAATGTTAAAAAAAGATGATCTAATGGATAATCCTTGTAATAATTAAACTGAGTCAAAAGAMTGCAGAATTACTAACTGCATATGAATTTGGTCATTTTCATTAACAACCCTCTTTTTAATAAAATGTTGCATGAACACCCTATRTTTTGCCTCTTAGGACTGAATTTCCCCAGAATAACTAAATTAGATGGGAGGATAGTGAAGTCCAAATCCAGAACCTCTGTGAGGGGATGAATCCATTGTTCTAGCAGAAGCCTCAAGCTCAGATTTTCATAATTCTGTGGATGTGATAGCTATGTACTACCTTGAGCTCATGTTTGTGTTATGTCAGGAATCTACAAGCCTGATGAATGCAACCCATATCAGATCTGAATGCAGAGAAACACCTTTAGCTGGATGAATTTTGATATTATCAAAGATGTACAGAGGCATAATGAACACCCAGCTGAAATGAACAGCAGTTCTTCAAACAAAAATCCTCCCTGAGATGTGATTTGATTCACAGACGACAGGAAACCACAAAACTGGCAGCAAGCAACTGCAGTATAAACTTACAGCTAAAATTTGAAAGATAAAGCATCAAAGCTTCAGAGAACATTGTGTCTCTGCAGCTGAAACTAGAGTTCTGTCAGACACRCTGAGTATCATGAGAGGTTAAATACTTGAAAAAGTCCTTGGTGAACACAATGCTTTATCAGAATACCTCAGGGAAGCTAGGAATTCTGTTATTGATTCCTGCACATCAAATATTTACTGGAAGGGCAGATGAGCTCCTTAGAGCTAGAATAAAACTAAAGGTAGCTGGAAAATCAGATTCAGACTGCACTCTTTGTAAGTGAGAATAAGAGCTGCTGAAATCTGAATGATTCTTCATGCACTACTCATGAATACTTTAGCAAAAGAATCTTTTAATCTGCTCTACTATTTTCCTAAGATTTCAAGTTACAAAAATCCAAGGGAAAAAAAGGAAAAAATATCCTGAGTAGTGTACAGTATTTCTGCATTTCGAGGAAGCTACAGACAAGTTACATTTTTCCATAAAGCTTCATCACTTTGAATTACAAGTAGGGAATTGTGCAACTGTGCTGTTACCCAAGGACACATCCCCACTTCACTACAGTATCTCTGAGTAAACACTAGATATTGATTTAGAATTAGGCCACAACCACTTAGAGAAGTTTGTCAATTAAAAAGAATTCTAAYCTTTCACTTAATTTGCTATGACCTGAGGTTTTATAATTGAAATAGATTGAATAATTCATTTTCAGTATCTGTCTCGTGTTCATTTATACAAGCTTGTTCCAAACTTGCTCCAACTTGCATTATTCATGTTGACTATCACKGTATCTCTTCTTCTCATTGCCTCACCACCCTCCTCTGACCAAGTCCCTAGAAAAGCCACATTTATTTTCTAGGAATACAGAGCTATTCTTTATGATTAGAAATATCASACTATGTTCTTTTACACATCTGGTAGAACTTGGGTAGAGTTTATCTCACCTAACTTCAGTTGTCTCAAAGTATTTAAGTCAGTTTGCTTCCTGAAGATACCTTCTCTGTGTATCTTCTCCCATCTTAATGCATCTAATCTAAAGTTGTAGTAGCAGCACTGATCTGAGTGAAAGTACATTATTCTTAGACCAGATCAATTTGTTTGCCCAGTTCTCAGCATTGCTGCACCAGCAMTTGCAACAGCTTAGAAACACCATGGACAGGACAAGCTGTTTCAGGCAAAACACCGGATAGTGCTAAAAAATTTCAGTTTCATGACAAAGCTTGGATACAGATGGAGTTCCCTGCAAAAGCTCCTTCACAATCTCCATCATYTGCAACAGGACTTGAGAAAACTAGTTCAAGTTTTGATGAACTTGATGCTTATCAACTTTGCTCTATCAAGCAAAGGTTAAGTGATGTTAATTCCAACCTTTGCAGACGGTCAGTGTCACTGCTGTCACCAAAGCAGATTTTTTCCTGTCTGTGTTACTCTTTCATGCAAACTTGCAGGAACAATTCTAAAAAAAATATTTCTTTGCTCTCTCAGTAGGAACATGTGTTTGAAAATGACAGTAATCAACAGGAAACTTGCAATCAGGTTTCTCAACTAAAACTAATTTTTACTCATAATTTAAATATAAGAGATTTCAAACTGACATCATCCTCTAGAAAATATTAGGTAGATAAAAGAAAATACATAGTTTGTTAATAATGAACACTTTGGATATCASTCACACTTGTAAGATTGAATTAACAAAAATTCATCTTAACATTTCACTTATTCATTGAATATGAATACCTTCTCTCAAAGTTGCAGTGATAAGGAAAGGTATAGATTCACTAGCAAGGATTTTAACTGTAGRTATGTATTAGCACAGCAAAACCTGGCATAGACTAGCCAAGTAATGCTTAGAAAAATAAATTTTTAGAAAAGAATATACTCACTTCAAGAAGTAAATTCTACAGGAATATCCACAATTCTCAGATGTCTGAAAAGATTCATATATTCATATACATAAAATGTATCTATCTATTAATGGGCAACAATAATGAAAAAATCTATCCCAATGCTTACGGTTTCACAGTTCAAACATCTAGTTTCGTTWGTCAGTGTTCCCTGAAAAATCTCATGCACCCAGGTGAGCTCTTGTTTATTGTTCTCTTCAGCTTCGTTCATGTTGCCATTTTTCAGTTTCCCATTTTGCTTTTCCTGTTTCTTCTCCTCCTGCAGAATGTCTGCAATGGTGTTGAGCAGGTAATTTAAAAACTCATGGGCATCCTGCTGCATGTAGTTGTCAAAGAGATCTGTGAAGAGAGAGTAAATATTGGTATAGCTGAATATCCTTTCCGCCAAGAAAGAAAATTAATTATTTCCCCAAATACTTGTAATGGCCCTTGCTCAGCATTTTATTTAGAATCATGCCAAAGAAGAACATTCACCCTGGCTTCAGTGAAGCAATTTTGGTGGAAAGCTTCATCTCACCTAAGTTTAGCTGTCTAGAAAGTTACACTCACTGGAGCTGGTTGTGTAGGCTGCCATGACAGTCAATGAAGAAAGCAAGAGCATGACTCATCCTAAATTATTTCCTCACACTAGACATTTGCTGCCTAACTTTTGTCAGCACTGACTTCCATCCATCCACACATTCCAAGTCCCTCAGACACTAAGAAACACCACAGAGTTTTGACAGAGCCCCATGGCTGGGAAAGCCAAAGGCACTGCTTGCTGACACACACTTGTGTGCTGTGTCCAGCCAGGATGAAGTGACCTTTCCTCACAGTAACCCAAGGGGTGCTGTGTTTTGTAGGTGGAGATAAAATGGGGTTGATGAAGTAATACCAGTGTTTCAGCTGATGCTGAGCAGCACTCAAATAGCATCAAGGTTGTCCCTCCAACCCTCCTGTTGCCCAAAGGCTGGTAGGCTGGGTGTGAAAGAGGTTAGGAAGGGGACAGACCTGAGGCAACTGACACAAACTGGCCAAAGTAATATTCTATGCCATGTAACTTCATGTTCATCATTAAATTCTAAGAGAAAGATGGTGGGCCTTCATTATTAAGATATATTTCTTCCAAAGAAACTCCCACACATGACAAGGTCCTACTTCCCAGGGAGTAACTGGAAATCATTTGCTGATGGGAGGTAGAGAATAAATCTCCTTTGGTTTTCTTTGCTWTTGCTTGTGATTTTTGCTTTTTTTCAGAAAATATTTAATTAAACTGCTTTGATCTCAACTCATGAGGTTTTTTTGTCTTACCTTCTCCCACTGTCCTGCTGGGACAAGGAGTGAGAGACAGGCTTGGTGGGCACCTGGCAGCCAGTCAAGGTTAACTCACCACAAGCAGTAATAGTAAAACCATCTAACAAAGCTCATTTTTCACACACAAGTCTGATGAGAAGAGACTTATCCTGCTCAATATGAAATGCTTACAGGAATAGGGGAAAACATCCCAGTGGTGATTCAGTACAGACTTCTCCAGTAAAGGCTTAACTTGCCCACCATGTCAAYGAAAAAAGAATCTGTGTTCCCAGAAATGCGTATTTTTATCCCCCTGCTCCCGAAAAAGGTCATGTAGGTTTTCTCAGAAAATATTGTAYAGAACCTTTGGCTTTATAGTGTCTAGCCTGGACATATAAGAAGGGTAATACACACTGAGTCTGGCTCTAATTTTAAAAAGCTGAAAACATAAGATCCAGTCTTTAAAAGTGATCCCCAGCAGTGTGGGGGCCTTTATCACTAGATGACTCAGAGTTAACTTTTTCACTGTTTGAAATGTCTGCTCTGAAATGAACAGTCTGCCCATTTATATGTCACCAGGAAGCAATTTCTYCCAGGTGTTTGACTCATACTTTTTCTCTACAGTCAAAGCCTCCCTGTTTCTAAGCATACCACCCACACTGATATGAATCCAGGCCAAAATGGAACTATGACAGGCTTCTTCATCTCAAGATGTTCCTCATATCCTTTAGACAGAGCTACTAAAATATTAGGTACATGCTGTTGCCAACTTAATGGGAAGAAAAGGGTGTTATGCTTCACAAAGTAACACTGTGTCTACCACTTCCGAGAACCAGAGCMGCAGCTGATGTGCAGCCGATTGACCACCACACACATACCCAGTTACTCATCCTGCAGAGTGTTCTGGAGTTGGTGGTGCCTGTAACCTTCCTAGGTCACACAGTTTCTATACTGCCAGCTGCCCTCAATGTTTTTCTTTGCCATACTTCACAAAGAAAGGATTAAAAAATTACAGAGGTGTCACCCTATTCCCAGCACTATCTCACTCTAAAATGAGGTCTGCCCCACCATGCTGTGAAAACATCATTAATTCACACACCTCTGGAGCATAGGAAATCTCATGTGGTTATTTCAAGCATAATACTGTGTACACAGACACTAAAATAATGATATATGTCACAAAGTACTAAAAGCAATTTACAAATCTAACCYGTATTTTTGATTAATATGATTACATTGCTCAATATTTATTTATACTTTTTTGATTAATGCATGAATACCTTAGAGGTTCCAGTTTTACACTTACCATTCTCTTTTCGTAACCTTGATATGAACTTCTTTGGTGGAATAACTCCAACTTTTTTCTTCTGAGTAGCAATACTGTGGAAAAGATCTGCCAGGCAAGTCAGGAGGTTTTCCTTCTTTTTCTGTTGGGCCTTGTATGATAATACATTTTCTCGAAATGGCCGGCAAAAATACAATGCCTGCAGCACGGAGTTACAGTAGCAGGTGTTCCCAAACTGCCATGTAAAATTAAAAACAAGTTTAATCCCTRGGCATCACAACAAAACTAGCTGTTCATTCAAATTCTGACTTCTGCCRCTGTCACAAACCAGCCATTCTGCTATGCAGCTGCAGTAGAAATATATTTCCAAACCCACTGTGACAGAAAAAAATATGGTGCTCTATATTAACTWGGATACAAAGTAAAGATTTCCACTTGTAAGAGAAATATTTATTGTAGTGGATTTAATTRAGCTTATTTCCACACCTGGGCTCTATCTTACTGCTCAGAAGCAGAATGACTGATGTTTTCAATGGAAAAAAATGTCTGTATCTGTATCATTTCTATGGGAATAAACAAGTGATTAAACACTCTTCTCACTCATTTTCTCCTAGGTCAAATGAAAAAGCTCCTCCTATGACTCCCCAATGCAGAATGCTGTACCTAAACTTGTACATACTTTCATCACTACCTCCCTCCCATTTCACAGCTAAAATAGACATTTAACTTTAGTGGAGTGTGTATTCTAATTCCTGGAAATATTCATAGAACAATACACTGTTCTCTCTGGGGCTGTGTGAAGCTATCTTCAAACATCTGATACCATTTTGCAACACACTTTGCCTAAAATTGCAACCTGAGCAGCATGAAAAAAAAAAAAAAGACAATCTCACATTAGAATAAGATTTTTAAGAGTAGGGGAGAGAGCAAAACAAAACAAAACAAGCAAAACCAAGAAACAAAGCAAATTTTAAGTAACATCAAAGCCACAGTATCGTATATGGGTTGACTATTGAAAATGGTACTTACATTGACCAATCCAAAGTAGTGTTCATTGATTGGAAACTGCTCTGGGCCAATGTCTTTTTCCAGAGCAGAGGCATTGGTGCCCTATACAAAAAAAAAAAAGCAAAAAACAAATCAAAACCCAACCAAATCAAGAAAATTAAAAAGATTCTAAAATAAAATTATAGGCAGTGTCAAGACAGAAAACAGTTCTTTCCTTTCAGCTATGATTAGCTATGCTAAGTCTCACTAATAGGCACACACGACAGTCTCATAAGCCAATAAAAATATTTGCAAATCTGGGTAGGGGAACTGGCCTGGCATGGACCCCCGAGTAATGACTGATTAGAAATGAACAGGTCAGAACASTGGTTCTTCCCACACCCCCTTATTTTTACTGTGTACATGGACATCTGGATCCTATTAGTCTCCTGCCTCATAAAGATACTAGTTGATCTTAAGCASAGCCCTAAAAACCACTTCCTAGATGTAAGGCAGGTTTTCTAAGCATTACTGAAACTCCTCTGGATCACTCTTAATTAATGATCGGCCCGTAACAATACTTGGGCTTCAGATTGGCACCCAGTTCTAGTAACAACATCACAAACACTAAAAGCGAATGTAATATACCTGTCATTTTGTCCTATCTAACGCCAAAGAGCACATAAATCCAAGCACAGTTACATCTCTTAGTCACTGCCCTGGTGTGGCAAGTTGTGTTCAGCTGTATCTCCACTCTAATATAGGTAACTACTGGTCTATAAGTACAACACTCATTTAGTATGTTACTGTCATTTTCCTATATTAAAATATCCATTTTTAAACAAGCCTAAATTACCAAGCAAGCAAGGTAGATCACTGCCAAAGCAAATGTCATCACTCCAATACACATTATACCCTTGGCTCCACCCCCTGACACCCTCACTTCAGATCTTATAGATATTGATGWGTTCCCCCCTCAGCTGTCCCTTGAGGCTGAACCAGCCCAGCTCCCTCAGCTTTTCCTCATAAGAGCGATGCTCCAGTCCCTTTATCATCTTTGTTACTCTTCACTGGACMYRCTCCAGGAGCTCCATGTCCYTCTTGTCCKGAGGAGCCCAGAACTGGACACAGCACTCCAGATGTGCCTCACCAGGGCTGAGCAGAGGGGCAGGATCACCTCCCTCAACGAGCTGGCAATGCCCTYCCCAATGAACTCCTGGATCCCAGTGGCATTCTCRACCTCAAGGGCACTGCTGGCTCATGGACAGCTTGTTGTTCACCAAGGACCCCCAGGTCCTTCTCTGCAGAGCTGCTTCCCAGCAGGCCAATCCCCAGCCTGCATTGGTACATRGGGTTATTTCTCCCCAGGTGCAGGACTCTGCACTTTCCTTCACAGAATTTCCTTTCTGCCCATCTCTCCAGCCTGTCGAGGCCCTTCTGAAGCGCTGCACAGCTCACTAGGGTATTGTCCACACCTCCTGGCTTTGTGTCATTGGCAAACTTGCTGAGGATGTCTCTGCCCCTTCATTCAAGCCAYTGATGAATAAGTTAAACAATACCCAGTATTGGGGGACACCACTAATGTCAGGCTTCCAACTAGACCCTGTGTCACTCATAGTAACTATCTGGGATCAGCCATTCTCAATCCACCTCACTGTCTAGTCATCCAGTCCACATTTCCTGAATTTGCCTATGGGGACATTGTGAGAGAGAGTGCCGAAAACCTTGAAGTCAAGGTAGGCATTTGCTCAGACTTCATCAGCTAAAATTTTCAAAGTAACTGGTAACTAGATTTAAACTGGTAACTAGATTCTGATGTCCCTTCCCCATCTTCTCCCCAAGGCCTGATTTGTAATTCCTCGCTGCACCTACCATCACCACTGCTTACCAAATTAGTTATTATTTCACATCAACTCATTCAAAGAAGATTATTTTAGTCAACAGAATTAATGGCATGAAACTCAGCACAGGTGCTCTTTGAGAATTTACAAGCCTTGAAAGTGAAACATCTCCTTTAAGTTGGCAGGTTCCAGAAAAGCTCCAAAGGTTTCATATTTCACATCCCCCTTCTCAGCTCTTTTTCCATTCTCTCCCTTTCTCTCACATACAGAGATCATTGCTCAGACCAAGTGCATGCTTCCCAGACTGTCCCTTTGAGGCTGAAGTACTTCATAAGCATAAGGCTTCATGAAAAGCTTCCTAAGGGATGTGTGTTCTCACCAGAATCTGCTAAACCTCAGTGAGAAACTTGGAAGAAAAGAYTGATCGATACAAAGCAGTTATTGGCTACCACGCAACAGAGATGACAGTGTGACAATTATGTAAGTCTCATATGAAGATTGGTGTCATTGCTTGGAAAGTCAGCCTTGCCAAAGATGCACATATTCAGCAAAGCATCCAATATTCTAAGAGTGAGGAAACTGATAGACATGTGCCTGTCCAATATTAGCAATGAAGCAAACAGGCACTGTTACCCTTAAAACCTTGTCTGATACAAGAGAAACATGACTACAGAAGATTTATGCAGCTTCTGAGGAAAAATATCTTCATATTAATACTCATTGTATAGCATTCAGATCAAAGCAAAGGTTTTCTTTGATGACACTTTTAACATTACAATAAGTTCCTTAACATAAGAATGAAATGGGTGTTTTTCCAGTTTTGTAGGAAGTGTTCTCCACACTGAAATAAATTCTCCCACTACAGTTCATGAAAAATACTAAAAGTAACCTCCTACTCTTTCAACTACAGTTAAGTGTATGCTGTTAGACAAATACAATGCAAGTGCTCTGCTAAGTGTTGCTCCTACATTACTCATTTGCCGTTCCTCCAGGGTCAAGGCTTCTCACTTCAGAGGATGCCAGATGGTTGGACAAATCCTCTCTTCATGTTTAAATTTTCTCRTAAATATTGTGAGAGAGAGCAAGAATCAGGATTTACCAAACAAATTTATCACTCAGAACCAAACAAATTCATGTGAACTAACCAATCTTCATATATCTTCATATTTCCATTGCCTGGAAATATCCAAATACTTGCTGCTGAAAAAAAAGCATATGCTTAGTAACATCTCATCATAGAGCTTTACTTCTCCAAAACCAGGCCTTGGCTGTTGCAATTATAAAATGAAGTACCGTGTGTCAGAAACCCAACAGAACTGGCTAAATTCAATCTTTGGGTAAATGCACAAAAGTCGCTCAGACTTCATTAGGAGTTGTGCCTTCTTGTGTCAAAGGCAATTCCAGTCTGGGTTATTCTRAGGTGTCCAAAATTATACTATCAAATCCACTGAAAAGGAAGTCTAGGAACACAGGTAAGAAGCACAGAGACCAAATGCTTCAAAGAATGATATATTTCTTATATGGATAAAAAAATGTAGACAAGCTACTTACTAAAACTCAAACCATGTCACATTACACATATGTTACTTATTTTGCATACGAAGTTTCCTCAAAAAGCTGCTGACATAAGGACACAAGAAGGAAATTTTTCAGCYAAAGTATACCAGAAATTGTACACCCAAGCCAGGCTTAAAACGGAAAAAATATGTTATTAGAGATGTGTTACWGGTGAGTCAGTATCCAGTTTAAATCAACGATATCAAACATAGAAACACAGGTTAATCTACAGCAAAAGTCAACCATGGCTATTTAACATGGTTTTCAGCATGTTKGTGTTTGTTCTCACTCCCACCAAGTGAGTTTGGTTACTTCTACAGTGAAAGCCTGCTCAGACATTGTAATGCAACCGTTCCCTATGGTTTTATAAATGCTTCAGCTAGGAGAAATATCCTACCACAGCTGAATCTACCATAGTTCCATAAAAATAAGCAGGAGCAGCAGTGTAGCTATAAAGCCTGAAATGAGGAGAGGCGTATAAGTCAATCAAGTGTGATTTGGGAGTATTAAAGAAATTCATATCCAAGTATAGAGACAGTAAAGGAGATTGGCTCCTTCTTAAAAGAATACACTAATGAAGGAAATGCAGTGAAGTGACTGTGGTAGCCAGATCTTACAAGAATGAGAACTAGGTCAATGTGGAAACTCCTACTATGTATTCTATGATGTTGGTGAAGCTTGATTTCTCAGGGGTTTTACAACTGAATTCAACAATCAGTATTCAGCCCTTGTAAAATGGCTAAGACATACAGCTAGAGACACAGCCAAGCATAGGCCAGCTCAGGCCAAGGTTTCTACCCCAGCATCACTCTAAAACCATTCTGCCCACATGACCTATATTTTTTCCACTTGTTATCTTGCCCTAGACCTTCTAAAGGAGAAGGCTGCCAGTTTTCAGCTGAAATTTCTGATATGTTGCTAAGAGTTTCATTTGTGTTTTGCATCACATGAAACAGATTAAGTAAAAAAAACCCTGCTGTTCCTTTACACTTTAGCAGGCAAAAATAAACCACACCTTCAAGGGGAAAAGAATTTACATAAGATTAGTTCATTAAATCACATGCAGTAAAGTAATCTAAATGAAATTATGCTATGGAGGATGAGAAATGGACAAGAGATAACATGAAAGAGTGTCAACAGAAGACAGCAAATCAACTAAACTTTGTACTGTGACAGAGCTCTAAAAAATGGCACTAACTTTCTAAAAATATTCATGTGTTTAAAGTAAATGGATATAGTAAATAAATTAGGACTTCTCATAAGCCACCTATTAAGTGGGCATCACTAAATAAACAGAAATACAGTATGAAAAGCATAAAATTAATTAAATTTTTCTTTGTACAGAAAAATACATCTGTACAAAGAATAAGAAGAAATATCTTGTTCACAGGAAAATCTAATAAATATAGGGGAAAAACCCCAAAAATTTGAATATTTAAAACAGAAATTTAACAAATATATAATAAGCAAGAGGTCAATGAAAGAAGACAGCTGGTCCATGACAAAAGGTTTCAGACCATACTCATCTATAGACTAGATTTCTTTTTTCTTAGTATTCAGGGAAAGTGRGAGCAACACGATAGAAACAGACTTGTTTCCTGAAGGGAGAAACTGAAAACTTAAGACAAACTAATGGTGATGCTTGGGCTGGTAGAGGAGAAATTAGAGTAAAAATAGAAATTACTTCAGGGCTAGGCAGCCTGAGATTCAGGATTTTGGAAGGCA